TCTCTTCCAAAGTTTTCCTAGGTCTTCCTCTACCCCTTCGGCCCTGAACCTCTGTCCCATAGTCGCATCTTCTAATCGGAGCGTCAGTAGGCCTTCGTTGCACATGTCCAAACCACCGTAACCGATTTTCTCTCATCTTGCCTTCAATTTCGGCTACTCCTACTTTACCCCGGATATCCTCATTCTTAATCTTATCCTTTCTCGTGTGCCCACACACATCCAACGAAGCATCCTCATCTCCGCTACACCCATTTTGTGTACGTGTGTTGATGCTTCACCGCCCAACATTCTGTGCCATACAGCATCGCTGGCCTTATTGCCGTCCTATAAAATTTTCCCTTGAGCTTCAGTGGCATACGGCGGTCACACAACACGCCGGATGCACTCTTCCACTTCATCCATCCAGCTTGTATTCTATGGTTGAGATCTCCATCTAATTCTCCGTTCTTTTGCAAGATAGATCCTAGGTAACGAAAACGGTCGCTCTTTGGTATTTCTTGATCTCCGATCCTCACCCCTAACTCGTTTTGGCCTCCATTTGCACTGAACTTGCACTCCATATATTCTGTCTTTGATCGGCTTAGGCGAAGACCTTTAGATTCCAACACTTCTCTCTCCAAAGGTTAAGCTTTGCATTTACCCCTTCCTGAGTTTCATCTATCAACACTATATCGTCTGCGAAAAGCATACACCAAGGAATATCATCTTGAATATGTCCTGTTAACTCATCCATTACCAACGCAAAAAGGTAAGGACTTAAGGATGAGCCTTGATGTAATCCTACAGTTATGGGAAAGCTTTCGGTTTGTCCTTCATGAGTTCTTACGGCAGTCTTTGCTCCTTCATACATATCCTTTATAGCTTGGATATATGCTACTCGTACTCCTTTCTTCTCTAAAATCCTCCAAAGAATGTCTCTTGGGACCCTATCATACGCTTTTTCCAAATCTATAAAGACCATGTGTAAATCCTTTTTCCCATCTCTATATCTTTCCATCAATCTTCGTAAGAGATAGATTGCCTCCATGGTTGAGCGCCCTGGCATGAACCCGAATTGGTTGTCCGAAACCCGTGTCTCTTGCCTCAATCTATGCTCAATGACTCTCTCCCAGAGCTTCATTGTATGACTCATTAGCTTAATACCCCTATAGTTCATGCAATTTTGTACGTCACCCTTATTCTTGTAGATAGGCACCAAAGTGCTCGTTCGCCACTCATTTGGCATCTTCTTCGTTTTCAAAATCCTATTGAAAAGGTCAGTGAGCCATGTTATACCTGTCTCTCCCAAAACTTTCCACACTTCGATTGGTATATCGTCTGGGCCTACTGCTTTTCTATGCTTCATCTTCTTCAAAGCTACAACCACTTCTTCCTTCCGGATTCTACGATAAAAAGAGAGTAGTTTCTACACTCTTCTGAGTTACTCAACTCCCCTAAAGAAGCACTCCTTTCATGTCCTTCATTGAAAAGATTATGAAAATAACCTTTCCATCTGTCTTTAACCGCGTTCTCTGTAGCAAGAACCTTTCCATCCTCATCCTTGATGCACCTCACTTGGTTTAGGTCCTTTGTCTTCTTTTCCCTTGCTCTAGCTAATTTATAGATATCCAACTCTCCTTCTTTGGTATCTAGTCGCTTATACATATCGTCATAAGCCGCTAACTTAGCTTCTCTCACAGCTTTCTTCGCTTCTTGCTTCGCTTTTCTATACCTTTCACCATTTTCATCGGTCCTATCCTTGTATAAGGCTTTACAACATTCCTTCTTAGCCTTCACCTTTGTTTGTACCTCCTCATTCCACCACCAAGATTCCTTTTGGTGTGGGGCAAAACCTTTGGACTCTCCTAATACCTCTTTTGCTACTTTTCGAATACAACTAGCCATGGAATCCCACATTTGGCTAGCTTCCCTCTCTCTATCCCACACACACTGGGTGATTACTTTCTCTTTGAAAATGACTTGTTTTTCTTCTTTTAGATTCCACCATCTAGTCCTTGGGCACTTCCAAGTCTTGTTCTTTTGTCTCACTCTTTTGATATGTACATCCATCACCAACAAGCGATGTTGATTAGCCACGCTCTCTCCTGGTATAACTTTGCAATCCTTACAAGTTATACGATCTCCTTTCCTCATTAGGAGAAAATCTATTTGTGTTTTTGACGACCCACTCTTGTAGGTGATCACATGTTCTTCTCTCTTCTTAAAGAAGGTGTTGGCTAAGAAGAGATCATATGCCATTGGAAAATCCAAGATAGCTTCCCCATCCTCGTTTCTCTCCCCAAAACCATGGCCACCATGGAAACCTCCATAGTTGCCTGTCTCCCTGCCCACGTGTCCATTTAAATCTCCTCCTATAAATAACTTCTCCGTCTGAGCAATTCCTTGCACCAAGTCTCCAAGGTCTTCCCAAAATTTCTCCTTCGAACTCTTATCCAACCCTACTTGAGGTGCGTACGCACTAATCAGAACGCTAACTCTAAAACAAGAACACAAATTACATCATTACAATTACAGATATCTATATTTAAACAGCTCATGGTGACTCCAACACACAATCGATATTGTTCCCATAATTAGCTATTGCTATCCTTACGTGAAAATAAAACAAAGGAACATAATGGTTTAGAACACAAGGAAAATAGTGATAATTGCTTACGACGGCGAATAAATGGGCTTTCCAGCCTCGAGAAGAACTGTGACATGGTTCTCCATTGAGCTCAGAAGTGATCTCTTCTTTATCTCGGTGTAGCCCTGCACATCATTCAATAAGCAACTCATAAACTGATAAACAAACATTTACATTAATTAATTTAAAAAGCACATCAGGTAGGGAAGAAAAGAAAATCTCACAGCAGCTTTAGCAAGTGCTTTTGACAGCAGATCTACTGCAGATAGGCCAGAGGTGTTAAGTAGCTCCTCGGCAACAGACTTGAAAGCAGGAATTACACTGAAAAGAAAAATGTATTGATAATTAATATAAGAACTTGATTGCATCAAAATGTAATAAGCTGTGCACTGTCAAGCATACCTATCAGAAATTTTGGTTATCATTTCTGCTGCATCTTAACCTACTGCTTTAGATATATCAAGTGGCTAAGGAGCAGAAATGTTCAATTTCACCCCCGACTCTCTCAATTTTTGAAAAATTTGACCTTCTGGGATCATAAAGCATGAAAGCAACTCCCGAATAGCCTGAAAATATGGACACACCTCTAAGTACCACATAACATCAAAGACATTAAATAATAAAATACGAATAAACAAGAAATGCCACATTATTCACGATTAACCTGCTCTCCCTGTGCGTCCAGACCGATGGATATAGTCTTCTACATCAAGTGGAGGTTCACACTGAACCATAAACAATAAAATCAGTATATAGATTGACAAATATTACAAAGCTTCCAAATATGCACACTGACAAACCTGGATAATTGAACATCATTGGTATCCAGTCCACGTGCTGCCACATTTGTGGCTACTAAAGTCATATACTTGCCAGACCTGAAACCGGCAAGTGTGACCTGACAATACAAGAACACAGGAAGGGAAACAACGAATTCTGCCATTAGAAAAACAAAAAAATCCAGCTTTTTTAAAAAAGAAATATCACTATGAAAGGAAAAGAGCCTGAAATAACATATTGTAGTAAAGTTGTACAAAACAGGGGGTTAAGTTGTACAAAATAGGGGAAAAAAGTGCACAGTCAAACAACTTACCTCACGTTGGCCCTCCTGTATGCCCCCGTGCAAAGCTCGGGCTCCAGGCAACGCCTCGGCAAGTCCAGAAGCAGCTTCCTTTGCCTCAGTGAAAATGAAAGTGTAGCCTCCACTGAGTCAGAAACAAACATATCAAGTACATGAAAAATGATTTCCATATAAATTATACCCGAAACTATAAATACAAAGCATATGGTAATTGTTGACTAGAAAACGACCAACCTGCTATATAACAACATATGATATCAGGAATAAGTTGCGATCTTGCTGGACTGGAGCAAGGAAGAACAATACGCTAACATTGGTGCTGGCCTTCATTTTTTCATTACCAACCAGATCTACAGTTTTCTTATCTGGTTTGAGAAACCTAGAAGAAATCTGGGAAAAAGAAAAAGAAAATTTCATTCATTTGTCAAGAATAGAAGGAAAGGTCAAACATTGCAACATGTCCATTTATGTTTAACTGAATTCAGAAGAACAGAAGAACATCCAAATCCAAGATCTTAGTTAAAGATACTTACGCCTTTCACCCAACTCAGCAAGGTTGCACTGAAGAGAAGCGTTTGAAATTTACTTAAATCCTTCACCTTGCCTGAAAATCCAAAGAATAGAAGTTAAAGAGAGGTTGTACAGTACACACAACATAACACTTCAAAAATGTAACATAGACAGAAATTTTGCAAAATTAAAGTAACATTGTACAAAATTTAAAACTCCAGATAGCCCTGTCAACCAAAGATACCTTGACAGCGTAATGTAAGAATAACATTGGTTTGACAGGAGTCAAATAGCAAGAGAATTCAATGAAAACACAAAGATAAAATGATTCCAAGCTTCAGATGGACATTATTAACAAAGGTTTCAATGGACACTACTAACCAGAAACATGGATACAAAATACTTTATAGAAGATATGCAGCAGTAATGCAAATAGGCAAATATGGTATGGAAAACAGATGTTGGGATTACCCAAAAGACATACCTAGAATGAGTTCAACATCATCAACAAACCCCATCCTCAGCATTTCATCAGCTTCGTCAAGAATCCTAACTTTCAAGGTACTCAAGTCGATATTCCCCCTCTCTATATGATCCTACATAAAGGTCGTACCCAGTACACAAGGCTCCCGCTTTACGCAGGGTCTGGGAGAGGTGAATGTCGGCTAGCCTTACCCCCATTTATGGAGAGGCTGCTCCCAAGTCTCGAACCCGAGACCTACCGCTCATGGGCGAAGGCACTTGCCATCGCACCAAGTGCGACCTCTCTATATGATCCTACATATTCCCACAAATTTAATTTAGCTTCATAAGTATATTGCATAGTACCGAACTGACACAAGAACTCAGCTACAATGAGAAATAGTCAATGCCTTTATACGGCCAGGCGTTCCAACAACAATATCCACCCCTCTCCTTAGCTTACTTTCTTGAGACCTGTAGGGAGATCCACCGTATACACAACATGCTGCTAGCCCCACAGCACCGCCATAAGCTTCAAAATCGGTGAAAACCTGAATGAACCAAAAATTGTCAAGGGTACTCTACAAGCCAAACCATTGCAAGCATATCATTCAGACTCCAGGGTAAATAAAAATTACCTGTTTGGCAAGTTCCCTGGTGGGTAAAAGCACGATAACAGTTGGAGGCCTACCATAACCAGTCTTTCTAAATGCTTTTGCAGGCCCATTTGTTACGGACTCCAAAACGGGCAACACAAAAGCTAGAGTTTACCCTGAAATATTGCAAAACAAATAAGCATACAATTCAGAAACCTGAACAAGAATCACATCAATAAGCTAAATATTCCAATCCAATTCAACACACCACAAAACAATGAGTAAAATTTTGTGCTTTTTGGTAACAATTTGGGATGTCAGAGTAAAAATTTGCGCTTCTTGAGTAAATCAAATTTGCCTGTCCAGTTCGAGCCCGACCAACCAAATACAAACCTCCAAAATGGTATCAAATGTCATGGCCTGAACAGCAAACAAGGATTCAATCCCATTCTCCTCAACTTGGCCCTCAACAGCACAGTAATTCGAAACTTTGACACTGCATCAGGATCCTTTTCGATTGTATTTGTTAGGGGGAGATGGATGTCAACCATGCAATGCTCTGTAAAACTTAAAATGCTGTATAGCAGCTCTTGTTCGTTGTATTGAATACCGTGATTTCACTTGGCAAGAAAGACTTCATTTACACAAATTCACAGGGCTCATGCACTGTAATTTGCAGTTAAGATTAAAGGAAATGCAAAATACCTTTCACCCAAATTGGAGGAGCACTGGTGGCATTAGCAAGTTTGCAGCGGGAATTGGCATATCAATATCTTCACAGTTTCTGCTCAAGAAAAAATCAAATGTATTCCACATGTGGAGATGCATACCTCTCCCTGGCGACATAGTCACATCGATGAGAGAATATTATAGCTGAGCCTGGAGGGATGCAACCAAAACCCCTGAAAATTGTTTCTTTGTTCAGATAATAAAATTTCCCAAATTTCGAAATATAATTCCGAATCAAAAATTGGGTTTGAATTTTGATTACCTAGAATTTTATTACCCCAAGGGAGGCGACCAAAATGATGACGGAGAAGATAAAATAGCACACAATGAGCTTGTGATTAATGAGAAAGATGTCAGCATGCCCAACATCAAAGTTGACATGTAATTGAGAAAGATTTGGGCAGCCACAGAGATTGAGATCTCCAAGGCGTTCCAAATTACAGAGAGTGTCGGGAAGATCTACAAGGCTTTTGCAGTCTCTCAGATTTAATATCACAAGACCCTGAAGCCGTTCTATCGAGGGGGAAAGCTCTCTGATACAAGTTCCATCCAAGTGAAGCTCTCTTAATCTTTCCATATTTTCTTCAATGCTTGGAAACACCTCAAACTTTGTACAACCAGAAAGACTGACATATGTAAGGGACTTGAGATGACAAATGTTGTTTGGAAGACTTTTCAATTCCTTGCAATCTTTTAGGTCCAAATAACACAATCCTGTGAGATTATTAATTGACGAGGGCAGTTCAAAACACACCATCAACCTCCTCTCTTCATTCATTTCAAAACAATAATAGATAAAAGAACAACTCCAAAGAAGTGACCTGCACTTCAATTCCAAAAAAGTAAAAGTGAAACTTTGGAGTTCTTGGTGAGGGTGGGTTTGTGGTGTTGAGGTGTGCTTGCAGTGGATTGAGTCGTGGCAACTTATTCATTCGGTGGAATTGTGAGTGACTGTGAGAGACAGACATTGGTCGCTGAGGGGACTTTGAGTATTTGGGGATGAGTCAAGGAGAGTCGGTCAAGCTTTGTTAACAAATGTCCTCTACCAATAACTGGAGAAAACCAACAAGCTAGAAAGGCTGTGTAGCAGGTCTTGTTTGCTGTATTGAATACCATGGTTTCACTCAGCGAGAAAGGCTTCATTTCTCTTTGATTTCCTTCACAGGAAAAGGTGTTCAAAATTTTATAACTACCGAAGCTACTGATGAATGCAGATTGTGCTGATGATACATACGACTAGATTGAAAAACCCGTCATTATACCCCACTAACGCAAAAAAAGCAATCTAATCTAGACTAATATAGTCATGTACACAAATTCAGATATAGAAATGTTGAGATAAAAGGAAATGCAAAGTACTTTTCACACAAATTGGAGGAGCACCGGTGGCATTAGCAAGTTAGCAACAGGAATTGACATAGCAGTATCTTCACAGTTTGTGCACTAGCCGTCAGGCCATGCCAATTCAACAAAGCCACTGCACGTGGCATAGTGACCGATTGATTACTTCAAAACCAAGCTTCGTATCCATGTGTTTATCAGCAGAGTGTACCTAAAACCCCCGAAAATTATTTCTTTTTCAGATAAAATTTCCCAGAATTTGAAATTTAATTCTGGATCAAAAATTGGGTTTGAATTTTGATTACCTAGAAATTGGGGGGTTGGGGCAGCGAGGGACCCAGGCAAAACGGAGCTCTGATATGGCGTGTAGCCGTCGTGGATGCCAATGATGTTTGGAAGGTGTTGTACATGTGTCAAACCTTCACTACGGATCTCTGTAGTGGATGCCGATGATGTTTAGGAGCATAGTACACGTGTGAAAAAGCCAGTATCCCCACTATCAAAATCCACTGCATTATCCCACAAGCGCACTAAATCCTCAAAGTTGACAGGTAAATGAGAAAGATTTGTGCATCCGCAAAGATTGAGAGCTACAAGGTGTTCCAAATTACAGAGTGTTGGGAAGATGTACAAGGCTTTTGCAGTTTCTCAGATTTAAATACTCAAGCCCCTGAAATCATTCAATCGAGGTAGAAAGCTCTCTAATAGAAAGACTAATCCTAGAAGAATATGACGAAGAAAATTACCCATCCTGTCACTGAAAATTGATTGTGGAAAGCAGCAGCACCCACCGATGATTGAAGTAGTACATATAAAGACAAGAGCAGTGAACAAAGCTCCACGATTATACGGATTATAGGACACCAAAAAATGCTAGCAAAAATAAGACAAACAGCCTGAAGATACAAAAAAAAGTCAAAGTTAAAACTAAAACAAACGTTAAAAGTTGACACTCATACAGTCTGCATTTTTTTTTTTAAACAGGACTGAATGATCACAATATTCTACTCCAGATTCATACACCGATGGAGGAGCCAAGTTCAAAATTCAATAAATTAGAGTATTACTGGTCTATAGGAGCCAAGTTCGATACATATAGTCTGCAAGTTCATTGTCATTGAGTTGCAATGTTATACGTATATGAAATTATGTGTAGGTGTTCAACATTTACAGAGGCTATGATGTCCCTCTGTTCTATAGGTGTTCCCTTCAAGGTAAAAAGAGTAAAATATCTGTCACCATGCTATCTACAGAACATAAAGCTATGAAACAAGAAGAGAAGTGACTGAAGAATGATAAATTAGCTTACATGGCAAGCAGTTGGGTACCCACGCCCAAGACAGCACAAAACAATGACATGTTTGGGGGATATCTGAAAACATCACCATGAATGTATTTCCAGCCAACCTCCTCGTCTTCTTCTTCGCCACTGTTTGAGAACCTACGAGAAGATTAATTACACTAGGCTGACCAAGTTAAAACATAATGTAGTTGGACAAGATTGTGAATAATGTTTTACTTTTTCATATTGTTCTTGAGGCGTCGCACTATGAGCAAAGCAAGCAATCCCATCAAAAGCACAATGATGATAATAGAATTAATGAATGAGAACCAATGACTTTTCTGGTGGACTGGCAAAAAGACTTTTATCATCAAGCATCGAAGATAGGAAGGCGTCAACGCTGATACTTCCGAATGGAGATGAGGTAAAAGAGAATGGAGATGCTGTGTTCTCTCTGTCGTCTAAGTTCTCAGTATTGACTCTCAGATTAGTTGGGAAGCTCATTTGGTTTCCTTGAGACTGCTGTTGTTGATAAGTATTGTTATGATTGTGTCGTTTTCGTTCTTGCTTTTCTGGTGATGGTGGCGGTGGAACTGAACTGCCGCCATGAGAACATGTATGCTTCCCTTCGTATGTGATTTCGAAGACGGTGGGGTCTTCATCTGATCTTTGCACTTTCTTTCTGGCCCTACATTTTTGCGTGAACAGGTACGTGCATCTGTAATAGCTTCTGCGGATTTTAAACAAGTTGGTCATCAGAATTGTTCATAACACACTGAAACTTTCCATCTTACAGAAGAATACTGCTGTGTTTGCAGCTTCTCAAGGATGAAACTTTTCTCTATCAAAATCTTCAGCTTTTGTGCACGTGCGTATTAAAGGTAATGTATTTTATATTGCTTTTTAACACGTGGGACAAGTGACTGTTACTGCAAATGATTGCAGCAGGATACGATTAACTGATTAAAGTAAAACAAGATCCTTAATTTTACCTTGGATATTTGGCTCCTAGGATGTCTTTCTGCCCATATTTTCTCCAGCTGTGACCATCTTCATGGGGTCCTTCAATCCCATTCTCAGAGATTACTCTCCTGACATGTTCTGTCCATTTGGCCATTGCCTTTCTGCAATATGCAAATTCAAATCAGCATTTGGTTCTTTGCGATTACACTCGTTTGGTGGACAGGATTAGATTGGATTGGATAACCCATCAGATGGATTAGCGACGAGGAAACTTATCCTTCCCAATCCTACCATTTTTTGTGGGAATTACACGGCTAAGTTTCCTTCGCCGCTAATCCGTCTTCTACTTTCAACTCAGTTCCAGTTAACCGAATAAGTGAACTCAACGTCAATATCAATTTCTGTTATATCGACAGCATGATTTGGATCACAAAAAGCATGTATTTCTATTCGACGGACCTCCTCAGCTTCTCCTTCAAGCTCTCGGCCAGAACCTTCATGTTCATCGAGCCCTTCACCATCAGCAGCTCATTCTCCTTGTCGATGCTCATGTAGGTGAACCCTGCCACGTCACCCACGTTAAAAACCAAACCAAAATCACAAAAACGGCGGCGTTTTACTGCGAAAAGTTGCCAATTAGTGGGAGATGATAAGCTCACCTTTCGTCTTGGTGACAATCCTGTGGATCTTATGGATGCATCCCTGGCAGTGGAGGTTCAGCTTCAGAACCGCCATCCTCACCGGATGCTGCACACACAAATATACAAACCCATTTAATTAAAAATTAAATAATTGAAAATATTGAGGCAGGCGCACGTTAGCGAAAGGGGAACCAGTGCACCAGTGCGCCGTTGGAAGTACGCACCTCTTTGGTTTTTTCGTAATTGGATTTCTCCAGCGGCTTATTCTTGGCATCGCCGCCGTCGTCTTTGTTGTCCTTCACTTCTGAAATCTCTGGAAACATTTCAAGACTCGAGCAGCCACAAAGATCAAGGGTTTTGAGAGATTTCATAGGAAAGCTGCTTGGAAGACTCTTAAGTTCCTTGCAATCTTTTAGGTCCAAATATCTCAACCCCGTGAGATTATTAATCGACAAGCATAGTTCTTTAATTTTTGACCCAGACAAATCAAGCAATGATAGTTTCTCCATCACTTCAGAAATCTCTGGAAAGATCTCAAGACTCGAGCAGCCACAAAGATCAAGGGTTTTGAGAGATTTTATATGAATGTTGCTTGGAAGACTCTTAAGTTCCTTGCAATCTTTTAGGTCCAAATACTTCAATCCCGTGAGATTATTAATCGACGAGGGCAATTCTTTAATTTTTGACCCAGACAAATCAAGCCATGATAGTTTCTTCATCACTTCTGAAATCTCTGGAAAGATCTCAAGACTCGAGCAACCACAAAGATTAAGGGTTTTGAGAGATTTCATATGAATGCTGCTTGGAAGACTCTTAAGTTCCTTGCAATCTTTTAGGTCCAAATACTTCAACCCCGTGAGATTATTAATCGACGAGGGTAGTTCTTTAATTTTTGACTCGGACACACTAAGTCGTGATAGTTTCTCCATAACTTCTGAAATCTCTGGAAACATCTTAAGACTCGAGCAGCCACAAAGATCAAGGGTGTTGAGAGATTTCATACGAATGATGTTGGGAAGACTCTTAAGTTCCTTGCAATCTTTTAGGTCCAAATATCTCAACTCCGTGAGATTATTAATCGACAAGCGTAGTTCTTTAATTTTTGACCCGGACAAATCAAGCAATGATAGTTTCTCCATCACTTCTGAAATCTCTGGAAACATCTCAAGACTCGAGCAGCCACAAAGATAAAAGGTTTTGAGAGATTTCATAGGAATGCTGCTTGGAAGACTCTTAAGTTCCTTGCAATCTTTTAGGTCCAAATATCTCAACCCCGTGAGATTATTAATCGACGAGGGCAGTTCTTTAATTTTTGACCCAGATAAATTAAGAGCTTTTAACCCCTCAATCACTTCTGAAATCTCTGGAAACATCTCCAGACTCGAGCAACCATCAAGATTAAAGGTTTTGAGAGATTTCATACGAATGCTGCTTGGAAGACTCTTAAGTTCCTTGCAATCTTTTAGGTACAAAGAACTCAACCCCATGAGATTATTAATCGACGAGGGCAGTTCTTTAATTTTTAACCCAGACAAATCAAGCCATGATAGTTTCTCCATAACTTTTGAAATCTCTGGAAACATCTCAAGACTCGAGCAGCCAAAAAGATTAAGGTGTTTGAGAGATTTCATATGAATGCTGCTTGGAAGACTCTTAAGTTCCTTGCAATCTTTTAGGTTCAAATAGTTCAACCCCGTGAGATTATCGATAGACGAGGGCAATTTTTTAATTTTTGACCCGGATAAATTAAGATGTGATAGTTCCTCCATAACTTCTAAAATCTCAGGAAACTTGTCAAGCTTTGAGCAACCAGAAAGATCAAGGGTTTTAAGAGAGCGCATATGAATGTTGCTGGCTAGAATCTTAAGTTCTTTGCACCCATTCAAATTCAATAAAACAAGTTTTGTAAGAGTCCAAATAGATGGGTGAACCTCAACTAAACTTATACAATTTTGAAGGATTAGCCTCTCAAGATTTGGCACCTTTGTGAAGTCTGGGGTCTCCTTAAGGTATTGACAATAACTTAAATTGATGAATTTCAACTTTTCCAGCGTCTGTTAAAACATTCAGGAAAACATGTATTACTTAATAAGACATCTCATAACCTAACATTTAAAGGAAACATATACATGTAAATGATGATTGTACATACCTGGATTCCTTCCCAAAGTTGCTCAATGAGACTGTATTGCATGTCAAGGTCAACAAGATTTTTGAATTGAAAGTTGGATGGCAAAGACTTAAGGGGGAATCGAAGCCAGGAGAGACACCTCAACTCACGAGAAAGAAACTTGAAGTGCCCAATCAGGTGCTGTTTGCAGTAATTGTACTTCTCGTGACTGATTTTGAGAAGTCTTAGTTGGGTCATACTAACAAATGCTTCAGCATTTAAGCATACCTCATCTGAGTTCGATAAATCCAGGATTATGCTTTCAACTACTTTTGTAGCCTGTGCAAATGAAAGTGAAGGGAAAAATAGTGAGCTTTTTAGAATGTGAAGTTAATGGTTATTTTTTACGGAGCCGTTTGATAATCATTTCATTTTCAGTTTTTAACTTTTGTTTTGATTATTTTTTTTAAGAAATATGAAAATTGAAAACACATAACTCGTTTGGTAACCATTTTAGTTTCCAATTTTAATTTTCAGTGGGCCTAAGAAATAGAGTTTGGTCAAAAGTTGAAGCTCTAAGCATTGTATACGAAAAAGATTTCTCACCTTATTTTGAGTTAGCACATGATGGACATCTTCATAACTCCACAACCTACTTCGTCTTCCAGGCTCTTCGATAGATTCTTGGCGAACTATTTCCCGACCCATTTCCTCTAGTAAATCATGCATATCCAGTTCCCCATTCACTGAGATAGTTATGAGAGCTCGATCCATTAGAACTCTTATCCCAGCATGAGGATTGTAATCACAGCTATCCAGAATTTCGGTTGCATAGTCTTTTTTCATTCCTTTAAAGAAACATGCAATGTCTAGAAAGATCTTCTTCTCTTTATGATCTAGTCCATTGAAGCTTGTTCTAAGCACATCATTAATCCCGCTTTGCGGGACGTCCTTTAATTTCTCGAAGACATCTTCCCACTCACGTACAGTTTTGTTATAAAGAAAAGCTCCCAAGACCTTGAGTGCTAAAGGCAGACCTTGAGCATATTTTACGGCACGACTCGAGAGAATATAATAATCTCTAGTGGGTTGGTTTTTTTTGAAGGCGTACCGCCTAAAGAGTTCCAGAGCTCGTGGCTCACTCAAAATCTTGGGTTTATATATAGCATCAGCTAAGCTTAGTAATTGCGAATCTCTAGTTGTTATAATGATTCTACTTCCACCACCAAAGGAATGTTGCCCTCCAAGTAAAGCTTCAATTTGTTCTAATGTGTCCACATCATCCAGAACAATAAGAACTTTTCTCTGACCTAGGCTATTTAACATCACCTGGAAACCATTCTTCGAAATGTCGGAACTCCCCACTTTGTTGTTCGAGACACTAGATATAAGTACTGTCTGCATATGTAGTTTGCCGTGCTTCATGAAATCTTCCTTGACATTTTCAAGAAAGCAACAAGCTTCAAATCGACGAGAGATTTCATTATAAACAGCTCTAGCGATGGTTGTTTTGCCTAAACCACCCATACCCCATATTCCAACAACGCGAACATCATCCAATTCCACCCCAGGAGGATCAAGATGTAATCGTAAATGCATTTCATGCATATGATAATCCATTCCAACCAAGCCATTATCTTTGCTTGATGTTGATGAGATGTGGATCACTTTCCGAAAAACATCTTCTACAATTTTCTCAATAAGCTCTGCATCATCCCTGTCAAATTTAAAAAACAATATAATGACAACGCCAAATAAAAATTAATGGGTCGTTTTGTGAACAATTTTGTTTTCATTTAATTTTTATTGTTAAACCCCTCCCCAAATTTCTCTGTATTTGTACAATGCCCCTCAAAGTTTATTGAATTGTTTTGCATTTTGGTCCCTCATTTCTTACCCTATCCAGATCCACTTTTTGGATTCCTTCAAAAGCAGTGATAGGATGAGAGGATTGAGGGAATCCAAAAAGTTGATACGGATAGGGTAAGAAATGAGGGACCAAAATGTAAAAATTCAATAAATTTTGAGGGACATTGTACAAATACAGAGAAATTTGGGGAGGGGTTTAACATTTTAAGTCCAGATTTTGAGTTTTCAAATTTTTGGCCTTCAGTTTTTAGTTTCACTGCAGGTAGTTATTAAACAAGTTTTTCAATTTTTCTCTCATGGTATATAGTAGTCCTAAAAATCAACAATTAGATCTAAAGGGTCTTTACAACCGTTTTGTACTGAGTATTTTGTACCATTGTAGCCGATCACAAATTTTCTTCTGTTAGTTTAAAAAATGAAAAATAAAAAATGAAAACTAAAAACTAAAAGTAAAATGTTCATCATATGATTACAAAAATTAACGGGAAACTAAAACAAATTAGTGATTACACATAGTTTCGTGAATCCCAGCCGGATAAACATTTTCTAGTTATGATATTTGTACAGTAAAAATACGTTAATAGCAAGTGCGTGGGAGTGTGTAGAAATTAACTTACTTATAATTTAGTGAATTCCAACCGGATAAATCGGTGGCTCTGGCAAGAGCAGACCTCCAGCTCTGCACCTCCTTCACGTCAACGTTAGAATGGCGTTCATGTTTAGCAAAAGCTTCTGCAAAACTTCCCTTGAGTTTACGAATATCGGATGGATCGACTTCGTAGAAAATGGGGACCACAATTTGGTTCTTGTTATCGCTGCATTCCAGGATTTCCACGAGTTCTTTCAAGCACCAAGTGGAAGAAGCATAGTTTTGAGAGAAAACTACAATCGAAAGCTGTGACTCTCGAATCGCTGTCAGGAGCTCGGAGGAAAGGCGGTCGCCTTTTCTGAGCTCTTCGGAATCAATGAAGGTGTTGACTGGTTTCTGAAGCAGAGCTTTGTAAAGATGGCTGACGAAGCTCCTGCGAGTGTCTTCCCCTCTGAAATTGATGAACACATCGTATTTCAAACCAAGGCCAGAAGAAGAAGAAGAAGAAGAAGAAGAAGAAGAAGAAGAAGAAGACGACGAAGAAGAAGAAGAGGTGTTGATTGGTTTCTGACGCAGAGCTTTGTAGAGATGGCTGACAAAGCCCCTGCGAGTGTCTTCCCCTCTGAAAAGAAGAAGAAAAAGAAGAAGAAGAAGAAGAAGAAGGAGGAGGAGGAGGAGGAGGAGGGAGAAGGAAGAAGCCATTAATCAATCACACCTGGTCAGCGATGATCGAGCAGCTTAAGACTAAGAGGAATGTAAGAAAAGAAATACTCAATAGATCTACAAACTGGATCACCAGAAAATGGTCTGATCGATACCAAGTCAATGAGTCAATGCAAAAGGGAAAAGGGAATTATGCTTTATACACCTTCAAGGAAATTTCGGTGTGAAAGGAGTGTGCATTTTTTAATTTTTTTTTACCCAAGAAAATGCCAAAAAAGGGGTCAAAGTAGTATGTTGAGTGATCTACACTCTCTACGTTGGGCGAGGTTTCTGCTGGGCCGGGTCTGCATATGAGTGGGTGCCAAAAACGATAAAAAGAAAAAGCCTTTTTCTTTGATTTAATATTTTTAAATGAAAAGTAATTTCTTTGTGCCTTTTGATTTAATATATTTAATAGAGTCTTGACACATATTTATTTAGTTTTTAATTAAAAAAATACTAACTTAGCAATGTGTAAATTGTAGCAATGGTCCATTAACTTTAACTTAATTGAAGCAATGGTTCCTCAACTAAAAATTCATTATTATTGGTCCATCAATTCATCAAAACATGCAGTTATAGTCCTTCAACTAAAAATATATTATCATTGTTCCCCCAACTTTAATCCAACTGAATAAATGGTCCATTAACTTTAACCGAATTTAATCAATGGTCCCTCAACTTTAACCCAATTGTAGCAATGGTCATTCCAACATAACTCATTTTAACAAAATTCTGACGAAGTTGACAAAAATGACCATACCTATATGTTTTGATGAGTTGAGGGACCCCAATTGTAGCAATGGTCCTTCCAACATAACTTATTTTGACAAAATTCTAACAAAATTGATGAAAATAATCATAACTACACATTTTGATGAGTTGAGAGACCAATAGTAATGGATTTTTAGTTAAGGGACCATTGCTCAAATTCGATTAAAGTTAAGGGACCATTGTACCATTAAGAAAATGTGAAGGGTCAAAGTAGTATTTTGAATCTGCACTTGCCTACCCAACAACTTCTTAGTAAACCGGAAATATTCCCGATTAAATGTAAGCATCTCACATATATGTCATATCTAACGACATCGTGAGCGGCAAGTAAGAGATTAATAATTGTTTGGCTTCTAATCTGATGTCGTGGTAGTAACGATATTACTCTGAAATCTTTGATGTATATGCTTTTGGCTACAAAACTACTAGAACTTCACAAATTGCGTATGAAATAAAAAAATATTGACTAGATTGAATTTGCATAATCTACATTTCCACTACACATCGTTGTTTGGCTCGTGTTCTAAGAGCAGTTCTACCCCTAACACAAATGCGCCAGCACCCAGCGCATTTCTCCACTCAATGAACAATGATAGACCCCAATAAACAGTAATAGGCCAAATGCATCTCCATCCCTAAAACTAAATAACCTAGTCAATTTTATTAAAATATTATTAATTTTTATTATAAAATAATAATTTAATTTTTAATTCTTCTTCCCACTTTTCTCAAAAGGGTCTCTCTGGACTCCTTTTTCTTCCCTAATATACAAAAGTCCTTGTTTATATGTCAATTAGGTTTCAAATTTCAAATTCCATCCACTTTGTTTCTCTACAAAAACATCAACTTCCATTGACAAAGGCCATTGAATCTTTGATGGGACATCATCACTGTTGCAGAAGAGAAGCCCCCTCCTCATACCCGGTTCTGGTTTTCTTGGCGATGGTTGCAGAGCTTCTTCTTCTGTCGTCTTTGATCTCCCTCCGCCCTGGAATCAACCTTAGCCCCGAGGAGCTCTGCACCAAGAACCTAGAATCAACCTCAGCCTTGAGGAGCTCTACACCAAGATCTCTTTGCGACGCGTTGATCGTGCAGGAAGTTGATGACCCGGTTGACGTCAGATGGCCCAGCATGTGGGTCTGTCGATTTTAGGCCGATCTCTTGCCTGGCTTGGGCTAGCTGCCAGTCAAAATGCTGGGCTGGAGTGGATAGCCTAGGTGCCGGGCTAGTTTTTTGGCTGGGTGCTGGCCTATCAATTCCCCGGTGGAACTGGTCTAAGGCTGAAACCGGATTTGAACATCGCAGCAGCAAGCAAAGGAGACCAAATATTACAGAAAATGTGTTTATTCCAAAGCATTAATAAAAACAAACATTGATATTACTTCACGCCAAAAAAAAAAATACAGTGGTGGCAGCCACACTACAACAATAGGGCTTCTCACCCTATACATTCTTACATTGGCTTTTGTATTACCAATTGCAACTGGTTAGGTTGAAATGGTGTTTTCTGCTATGAATATTTTTCAAAACACCACTGCATAACAAAATGGGAGCTCAATGATCAAGTGATGGTTTGGTTGTTTACATTGAGAGAGATGTTTTTGCTTTTATTGTTAATTAGCTTATTATGCGACGTTTTCAAGGCATGAAATTTCGCCAACAACAATTGCAACTTGTTTGTATTAATAAATTATGAATGACATTAATATTCTCTACTATCTAAAAGGATTTTGTTGTCTACAATTTCTTGGAACATTTACTCTTTTAAATTTCGTCCCTTCCAAGATAATTCCTAACTTCGCCACTGCTTCCGTCAACTCAAGTCCTAGTGGTTCTTGTCTATGATATCAATATCCCCACCGTAAATGGTGACTTCAATATAAGATACACTCAGTATAACAAAAAGTGTGTATAGAGATTATATATGTATGAAAAAATGGCAGTGGTTGTGTTGCCAAATGGATGATACTGAAATACCTAATCCCAAGTCAAGCTCCTTCAGTCCACAAAAACAGAAGTTTATAATATAATAATGTTGGCATATGGACTTGAGAAACGACATACCGCCGCCTAGGAATGTGTAGTGAAAGAGAGAGGAAAAGAGGAAAGAAACGAACATAAATGACAAAGATTATCCAATAGATTATAACAATGACTATTCAACTATCAATAATGCATTATTTTATGTTGAAATGTGGAAGCATATGAGAAGTAACATGGCAACAACCACACATTTGCTTCATAGATTAAAAAAAGAAAAGAAAAACACACATCTATTTCTTTATAACAAATAGAGATGCCACGTTCCAACTTGGATTCTCTTCTAAAGTCGAGGATGAAAATAACTACCACTAGACTAAAAGCGGGACAACTATTAAATAAGAAATATGAAAAAAGGAATAGTTTTGGTAAAGACGTGTTCTTTAATTCATACTTTATAGTCATTTTCAATGGTAAAGCCAGCCCCTATTAAACAAATTTTTTTTCTCTTTATTTATAGTGCATCGAAATTCAATTCCAAGGAATGTGACACATGAAGAAGCAATTTAATAACAAGATGGGGAATATGTAAAACATGATTCCTTTGGACCGCATAAATAACAGAATAAAACATATTCAAATATGGGAAATGCTACGGGAGCGGACTTTCCACCCAAGTATGCCTCTACTCTGAAAAATCAATACTGCAGATGGATTCCGCCACTAACACAATAAAATAACTTAAAATTACAATTAAACTTGATATTTTCTCTCTTTCTCTCCCACTTCGTCTTCCCTCTGCCTGATGGAAACCTGCAGCAGTGCTTCCCAAATTTCAGTCGTTTCACTCCTCTCTCCGACCATGAAATTGGTAAACATGGCTGCAAAGTTGTAAAAAAATCATGAAAAAATTCTCTAAACCCCAAATCTGAATTGTGTAATCAGATATAAAAATATGAAGTTTGAATCTGTAGCCCAAAAAAAAAAAAAATTCCCAAAGATCTAAATCTCCCTCTACATTTTTCTCTCTCTCCCCTCCCCCCAAATTTTAGTTTTTCTATGTCTACTCCATCAGCTTCTGCTGGCATGAGATGACGAGTGTTGTTGATGTGGAATTCGAGAAGCAAACACATTTAGATTTAGCATTGATTGTTCCTTCCTTTTAGATTTTTTTTTATGTTAATAATTTTATTGTTGTAACTTTTAATTGCCAAACCTTCTCCCATATTCTCATAAATCTTTGTACTATCTTTATCTTTATGAAAATACGGGAATTCATGGGTTTGGGGAGTAAGAGAAGGCGGAGGGAGAGAAAATCTTTGAGTTAAATTTTTGTTGTGTTAATGAAGGGACCCATATTCAATATTGAGTTTTTCAAAGAAGAGGCATAGGTGAGCGGAGAGTAATATTAGAAAGATTTAATTTATAAATAAAATTTTGTAAATTAAATAACATGAAAATTGAATATTAGATTATTATTTTTTGAAGAGCATACTCATTGATAATACATCATTTAATGTATAAATTTCAAGGAAAATTAATGAAAAATGTTTGAAAACTTTGAGTTTTAATGATAAGGACAAAATAAAAGATAAAATAAATAGTATCATAATTGACTTTTTAGTGTAAAAATATGATTTTTCGTTAAATTAAATAATACCGGAAACTTTTCATTAAAATTTTCTAAATTTTAACTATAAATTTAGTATTCTTAACTTTCCTTCAAATATTCCATGCTTTTATTGATCTACTTTATATGTTTCCACATCTCCTTCAAAAAGAGAACTGTCTCGGTCAAAGAGTTCAGATTTGAGATAGTGGAATAATGGAATGGGCTACGGCAGTAGGGAAAAGAGAATTATGCTTTATGTGTTTTCAGGTCTGGAAGAAATTTCAGTGTGAAAGGAATCTGCATAAACACTTGTCTACCCAACAACTTTTTTGTAAATCGGAAATATATCCCGATCTCCTTATTTCACGTGAAGAGAGAGTTAGGGTCAACGAAAATATTTCCGGTTAAGTATAAACATTGCATGTATGGGCTATATCCAATAACATTAAAACACATTTATCGTTTAAGTACTACATTTACACTCGAAAATAAGAGCCTAATAAAAAAATAATACATACACTACTAATCTATTACAAATTTTAAATGTGCAAGGATATGCAAAATGAAACAGTTTTTGTTTTCAAGGTTGTAAAATCTTTCTCAAAAGTTTAAACCTCAATTTACAAAATCCTCGATTTACATCGATCATCATGAAATTGCATTGGAACTTTGGCTTGATCTATTGCCTTCAAGAGTTATGTTGATGATGTTTTCAGTAAGGTTTTCCACGTCATAACTATCTTCTGCATAAACTAAGCATAGAAA